TGAAACAGATTCAGTGCAGACAGAAGAAGGAACAACTAGCACAAACCAAGCACCAAGGGAAGAATAGGACTGGGATGAAGTCAAATAATTTTGTTGAAAGTATCATCATTGCAGGGCACAAAAGGACTATGTTGAGGTAAGGCTATGGATAAGCTTTCAGCAATAATCAATCTCTTACTCCTGAAAACTCTTAAATCCCTGTTGGAGAGGTTCTTAATTTCAACACTAAATTAATCATTTATCTAATCTAATGATAGGAGAAATCCCAGAACAATTTTGTTTGAAAACTATGATGTCTTTACCCTTCTCCTTTGGCTTCACAACTGTCCATATAATAACTGTTTCAGACCTTGTCTCCTGGGCACAGTCCTCTGTTGAAATACCCAAGGCCTCATAGCAGACTTCAAGATTAACAAACTCAATATAAATTCACATAACTATTTTATAAACTTTCTATATCTACATAAAGAAACAAAAAAGGCAGTTTCTCTGGGTTCCAGTTAATCTTGCCATTCTAACGGAGGGGCCATCAGCCTCATAAAATCTTGTGTAATTCAATAAAACCTTTATTTCCATGAGTACTGAAAGCAAGCCATACATTCCCTGTTGCCAGCAGACAATCCATCTATGACCCTTCTTGCCCCAGCCTCACTGAGTCAGTGTGGTTTTCTACTCCACGTTCAGCCAGGAGGATACTTACTACTTGCTGGTTTCTCTAACATAATCACTTTAAATACTCATGTCCATTAAGTTTAAAGATCTTAGGACCATTAAATTACACTCTCACATAGTAGATCCTACATGGAGTAAATCTCTTTAGCAGTTTCTCTGCTGGAAAGCTTCCCTGGATTCTCCACATGGATAAGATCAATTGTCATTCTTTTTGCACTCCTTGATAACAGCACAAAGCACATGCAGTCCTCTCAGCACAACATGCAAAGCAACAGCCAGTAAGCAGCTTCAAAAACAGTTCTGAAAACTATAGGGAGATCTCAGAGGGAAACTCAGCTTCAGAACAACTTTATCTTTTAACAGCTTCCTAATCCCCTCACCCAGCTCCTGCAGCTTTACCTTGTAGGTCACACCCTCACCCAGGCCAATTCTTGCATCAAAAAGTAGCAACTACAAAAATAAATAATTTTTTTAAAAAGTGATAAGACAACATTCAAAAAGAAAATAAATCACAAAAAATCCAAACAAAACAAAACAAAAAAAAAACCCAAACCAGCATATTGAGGATAAATCTAGAGTGCTGCACTAAGCCATAACCTCTTTACTGATGTTTTTTCCTTCCCCTTAACAGATTCAGGGACTGTAATAACATTTAATCCTCAGAAGCTAATCTAAATGTAACACTCAAAAGAAGACAAAGACAACGCAACAGAAAGAAAATTTGGCCACTGCCTTTTGGGAGTGCTGCTTTATCCCTGGAGCGAGTGCATTAATACAGCTTGGAATGAAATGCCATTTTATTCTCTGTAGCAGGGAGGGGATTAGCAAGTTGTCTTCTCTAAACCCAGTCTGAGTCATGGCTCTATGAACACTGAGAAAAGGATGTGGAATGAAGGGAAGGGTGGGGAGCACTGGCTTTTTATTTACACGCTGCTTCCTTTGTGGGTGGTTACTGATGTGCGCAGTTTGCTAAACAGGGAAAGAAGGCAGGGGAAGTTCTAGGTCCCCTGACTTTAATTCTGTTGGTTAACAAAAGAGAAAAATAATAATGCACCAATTATAACAACATAGTTGAGACAATATGTCCATGGCAACTGTCCAATTCACCATAGCATGGAAGCAACAAGGGCAAGTTGCTGAAGGTGCTGAAAGCTGTGCTCAGTGGTATCTTGTTGCTAGGATCTTTTTCCTGGGAGGAAATAAAACAGGTTGGACAGAGCCCAGAACAAAGGAGAAGGAGACACTCAGAGAGGAGGTATGTGGAGACGAGAGCAGGCTGGCTTCAGGTGAAGAGATGAGGAACAAAGTCCATTGCACAAGTCAGGCCATGGAGGCATCAAGCCTTGAAGCGGAAACCCAGAGCTAATGACTGTGTCAGTGATTTAATATGAAGCTCAGCACTAAGTACTTCACTTCTGTTTTTACACAAAGGCAGATAGGAAGGTTGACTTGCCTACCTCACAGGCATGCTGTGAAGGGTCACTGGTGGAAAGGTGTACAATATTCCTAAATCCTGCAATGCTTGACAATCACTAAGGAGTGGAAACAGTCCATGGAATGCTTGGACTTTGACCACTTGTGCAGAGGTGTAAGTGTTGATAAAAGAATTACAAAAGTCATTAAACGCCAAGAAAACACTGGGGTTTTTTTCAGATATTTCTTCTCTTTGCTTCGACACGGACTCTGAAAAACAGGGTGCTCACTGTGGAAAGAGCCCCAGCCAGGAAGAGACACTATGGTGAAGGAAAGGGACTCTGCAGCTGGAGAAAGTGCCACTCCTGGTTTCCTTCTATTTCCCTTTTCCTCCATCAGCTCTGCTGATACAGAGTGGCAGAGTACAAATACAGGGTAGACTGGTGTCACAAGGCACAAGTGCCAAGGGCAGGTCTTCACAGTGTAACAGGGATAACAGAAGCTCAGGAAGAGACACTATAGTGAAGGAAAGGGACTCTGCAGCTGGAGAAAGTGCCACTCCTGGTTTCCTTTCCTTAAGGAGATATCATAATCCAGCACCAGAAACAGGCAGGCCTGTACTTCATTCATCCTTTGCCTAATATTCCATTTCACATAATTTTGCAGGAGTGTCAGTTTATTCCTGCAAACCAAAGAACTAGATCTGCAGAAATCAGTCTAACCTATCTTAGCACCAACTGTGCTTGTATCTCTAATATGAAAGTGCAAAACAATAAGCAAACTATTCTTTCCAGTGAAGTCACAGGATTTTGTAGGTTACTAAAATAAGCAGGCTGTAGAAGGACTTGACTGTAGGATGCCTAACAAGAGAACCTCACAACACACAGACTTCAAGTCCTACCAGTTGAGCATGGATGCCAGTGTAGGAAGGAACCCTCCCCTGACCCTGTCCCGGCCTATCATGACCCAGGTGTGAGGCACAAGAACACTTCAGGAGTGTTTGTACAGTGTGTTGCACACAAAGCAACAGTCTGAAATGGGTCACTGCATGCTGATGGAAGTGACACACTGCAGGCTAATGGGGGAAAGCAATGATTCTTCCTGCAGGTACAATTATCAAAGGGCATTATCAGTCCCAGATCATGAACTCCAAAGCTCAGCTCAGTGCAATCCTGGCTTACTGCTGGTAATTTCTACTATGAAGAACTAGAATGCATGATATTCAACTTCACCCTCAGTTTCACTTGTGCCACTCATCTTGTCTCTTTTCAAAACAGCCCCAGCCATGTTATTTTTTCACACAAAATTCTCATTAGGGCAGGTGTCTCTTTTTTCTGCAAAGAAGACAGCCCAAGAAATCTGTTCCTTTATAATGGCTCAAGTTCATATTGCCATCAAATTCAAGAGCACTGTACAATAAGGCCAGAAGCCAGGGACTGTTAGATGATAAAGGCTCAAAGAAAAGGGGAAGAAACCCTTAAGAGACCACAAACACACACTCTGAATCTTGAAAGAAAGAATTCATTAGCATTTGTGTTGGTCTCTGCCACTAACCTTTGCAATAAATGGTTGCATTCCTGAGTTTCCTACATTATCAGCCTCCATTTCCACAAGAAACAGAACAGGCCAAAGGAAACTGAAACATCAGGAACCAACCTTCAGACTACCTATAAAAAATAAGGTAGTTACAGTCTGTACTAGTAAGTGAAGAACATAATCCCAGGTCCCAATCACTTCCATTACCAAGTCACAAGGATAAATCAACACTACACAAGTCCACAACTGATAACACATTTGCAGAACAAATCCAAGAAAAGATTCCATTGATCAAAGACAATAAGAAAGTTATGTCCTATGAATTTTTTAAATTTTATTTTAAAAGAGAATTTAAAATTCTGCTATGGAAAACAGGATGGAAATGCAAGCAATGTGTTAGCTGCTTTGTTTTGGCTTCTTTAGCAACTTATTGCTTGACTGTCCAAACAAAAATGTGAAATTACAACAGGTTATGTGATGTTTTGGCAGTTAAACATAATTTTAAATAAAGACAGCACAATATACTGCACACCCCACTAATATATTCATCACTACTATATTATCTATTTATGCAATTAAGTATTGTAGAGTCTGGATTGGACCCAACCGGACTACATATGCTGCTACTCCAGTTTATTACATATTGGCCAACTGTTTACCCAACTGAGATTCAAGTGCTGCTCTTGACAGCGTAATTGCTTTAGTCTCATTAATATTTAAGAATTATAGAAAATATTTTTTCTTGGGCAGCTGTTAGTGCATGTGGAACAATAAGTTATATAACACTACTGGCAAATACAAATATAATTTAAACACTATATATGCTCACGGTAAAAAGGCAACATTAAAGGTCCACTTACTGTGCTAAGGCAAATAAAAAAGACCTGAAAAATCATTGCACCCATTCTAAGAAAGCATTCATGAAAATTACAACTCTAATTTGAAACTAACAGGGATGAGATTTAGACTGCTTGTCTTTTTTTCTCCTGGACAATGAAAACTTTGGAAGTGGTGCCATTCTTCCTACCCCCATGCACCAGCCCAATGCTGCAGTGTGTAGGTTAAGTACAACGGGTCAAAGTTAGAACAGATTAAACATGTTCATTGCTATTTTGAAAACCCTAGTAAATATTCCTATTTAATATTAATTTTTCAAGTCCCTCTCTTCTCCCTCATCCTTCCTTGCAAGATCTATCAACTTTATACCAAACTCTGCAAGCTGAGCACAGAAAGAGAAGATGCCAGCTCGCACCTCCTCAGCCTCCTCAGTACCTGACACGAGGTAACTTCACACTGTTTACAGGGACATCCAGAATCTACACACAAAATGTTATGGCATGCAGCTGGAACTGCTGAAAAGAACAAAAATGGCTCCTCACTTTATCCGTTCCTCTGCCTTGGTGGCTGCCTCCTGATACTGCTCGGATGTCATCTTGTAGATCTCTGCATTCTGAAACAAAGAATAGAATGCTCAGTTCTAAAAATTAAAGGCATCTCAGATCTTATCTTGTCACAAAGTCATCTTCTATAATTAATAACAATTTCCAACAACAAACAGAATATTCAGTTCAAAGAATGCCAGAAATACTTAAGAGTCGATTTTATTTTCAACAAAATGCATCAAGGCCACAACACATCCTTCATTCCAAGGCTCACTTTTGTGAAAGGAAAAAGGGGGAAAAGGTCGCTACCAGCCAACCATGAGCTTTGGTTATTCCATTTAACCACAAAAACAAGGTGTTTCCAGCACAGAGCTATTTTGAGTTCGGTAATGTTTTGTTCTCTTCTTTCATTAATTGCTGTGAAGGATCTTGTAAGTTACTGACATGCAAGTATCAAAATTGGCTGCTAGCACTGGAAAATCCATTTTACATTTCAGTGCTTCTACTTATGTTACTTATTCTTTAAAAGAAAATTATGCAGCCTGTTTCCCTTCTAACAACATAGGGAGGCATATCAGGTCTCAGTTAAGGCGCTGCCAAACAGGCTCTTGAGTGTCTTGCTGCAGGGCTTAAGAGGTTTGCATTAAATTCTCCTGAACTTGCGCAGAAAGAGTTTTAGCTCACAACTGCTCAGTCACTAAATGTGGAGGATGAATTCCTCCTCTGGGCTGCACTGAGGAGCCTCCCAGGCACAGCCAGCAGGAGGGAAGGGCTGCACTCCCCCAGCGAGCGCACTGCAAGGTCCCGTGTCACTAAAGCGCTGATAAAGCCGCTTTAGGCAGAGCCGCTGGGCTCCACTGGCAACCGCCTCGCTCAGAGCCCATCTGCAAGGCTCTTACTCTGAAAAGGCACAAGCAGAAAATATGCAATAATCAATCAAAAAAAGTGACAAAATGGTATTGAAAGCGAGGACAGCTATTCATTTAGGGCCAGTTCGAGCTGCCTATCTCGTCTCTCCCCAAATTTGGTCATTTTATATAGAATACTATTCTTGCCCTTCTTCATTTATTTTCTCATAAATGCAGCTGGTCCTGCGCATGATGAGCCAACACATACTGTTCAGTGGTTGGAAAAAGGAAAGGACAGATATAACTCAAGTTCTATTAGTGGTTCTGCCACTTGTGCAATCTTGGGCAAGTCACCATTTTCCATCTGCAAGTGAGGGATAACAGCTGCCTGTATCTCTGAAGTTGTGTGAAGCTCAGTTAATTGAAAGGTTTATAAAGGTTTTCAGAACCTGGGCTTCAAGGTGCTATATTTAAGCGTTTTATCTTTAGTGCCTGAATTTATGTTACACACCAAAAGAAACACAGAACGGATTTTGCTTTTCAAACTTTGACCTAGGAGACAGATGTAAACTGAGGAATCATGAAGGACTAACCACTTCAAAATGCATTTTACCGGCAAATTATCACTAATGTTTTTGTTTACTTACTTATTAGAGAGTAGTCAAACTTCAATGCTATTAAATCAATTTTTCTCCTTCCTATATTGAAAAGTTCAGCTTTTAATAGTGCCTTTTTCTCTGGCCTGTAAACAGACCTCATGACTTACAGCTCCCTGCTGTTACTTATTCACACATGAAACCACAAGACCTGTGCTTCATTAATTAAATTTGCCATTAAAAATTAAATAATGTGAATAAGTAGATGCAAGCGTTATCTCCATTGGGCTTCAAAGGTCTCACCATTTCTCCAATTACTACCCAAGCAATTTTCATATTTCATACTGTCTGATTTCTCAAAGGGACTGGATCTGAGACATCAGAATGAGAGAAAGTGGGAAAAAGAGAAAGCAAGGTAACAAATTTAAACATTTTTCAGGCAATAGGAAGTAGTCCCATCAGACACTATTAGCCTGCAGCACTCTGCAGTGAAACAGCAGCAGGAGAGGAAAACAGGAACAAATATGTTGTACGTGAGCCCCAGCACGAGGTCGCGTTTAACCCACCTCAAGAAAGTGACGACGGCCAACAGAATCATTTGCTGGATGTGCTGTTGATTAAAGTGCTTGTGGCACAACCTTACCTACTTTATTAGAGAGTTCAACTGCCCAGCACTTCGGTCAGGCTCATCCCCAACAACATCAGCTACAGACACAGACAAAAATAGCTGGGAAAGGAACCCAGGCTTTAGGTCTGAATTCTGAAGCTGCTAAAAGCAGGCAAGTGAGAGCCTGAACAGAGGCAAGAACCTCAGTGAGGGGAAGGTGGAAAGGCTTGGTCTCAAAGCAACCACCAGGCATCATGCAAAAATTGAGGAGGGGCATAGAACACCTTCAACCTGCAGATGAAGCTGCTGGGTTTTAAAAATGAAAAGGAAACATCTTTCCCTGTGATCCAACTGGGCCTCTTACTGTTGGTCCAGACCTCTCCCCTCCAAAAACTCTAAAATCCAATAAAACAATATTTCTAATGCTATGAATCAGTACCTTTAAATGCTTCCCCAAGTAATAAAAACAGGGGGCTACCATTTAAATCTGAGATTGTTCAACAAGCAGATTTTTTAAATACATTTTCCTTGGCCTTTAGATCCCTTCCAACCTTGGGAAAGTCACATTCTCTTTTGTCCTAAACATTAAATGAGCAACAAATGGGCTTAATGGGCAAGAGAAGGGCCTTTCAGCATGGGCACAGACACAGCAGGTTCTGTGGTCTGGGGCTTCTACTAATAGAGAATAATTTTCCAAGTATTCTGATCTGTACTACTTCAGACACAAGATCTGCTTCATTTTCAGCAGTTTACCCACTATGCTATGGCAGGAGAGAACGTTCCAGTGGCCTAGAACTTTCGAGGGCTTTATAACATAGCTGCGAACGAGGAGCTAAGCCAGGAACCACCCGAGCACTTCCCCCAACTTCAGCAGGGTCACCTCCACACAAGGGCTATTCAGCAGGATCAAGGTGTGGTATTTGCACTTGAAACAAAGTCTGAGCTGCCTGTAGTCTTAGTGAAGTCCTTTATCTTCATAAAACGATATTCAGTGGTACAGTAAAAGAGAGAACATTCCACACAAAATTACAAGACATGAATGCTGCTTTTAATTTACTTTCACATTATTTGATGCTTGAGATAAAATGGCAGCTCAAAAAGAAAAAGTTGAACATGAGACCTCAACTATTATTAAATAAAGCTCCTGGCAGTCTTAGTTGCAGAAATAAGTTTAAAAACATGACCAAAGGACACCATAAGGGCTCAAATAACAAAAGACACAGAAAGAATGAATGAACCACCTAAAATGTTTCACTTCTCTCAATAAAGCTGAGCCTTAGGGGAGTCAACTTCAGAACATCAGAGCTTTGTCATATGGGGAGAGAGCTCTCCAGAGAAGACAAACAAACTAAGCAGAGAAATGTTAGTTTGAAAGATTTTTCCCTCTATTAAATGATGGTTCGTAGCAAATAATAAAAACACCAAGAAGTAAAAATACATAACCAGAGCCTAAAGTGCAACAGAACCACTTTCCTTTACCCTGCTGTTTTTCTACAACACATTTGCTGCTATACCCTTGCTCTCCACTCTACCAAAACACCCTTGTGCTAAAAATTCCCTTCCAAAGGGAATCAATTTTAAAACTTAGAGCTAAATTTGGAGTAATTTTAATTCAGCCTTCCTTCTTGGCTGCAAATATGCAGAGAAACTCCAACATTCACTACTACACCTCACTACACTGCCCAGGCCCTTTCCAGAGCATATAGCAAAGAAAGTAAGAAAACATAATAGCAGAAGACTGAGTTCTCAGGGTTATTTCAGGAGGGAAACTAATTGAAACATAAAGAGAAAACCCTGCCAGCTCATTCACACACTGACATTAAACCACATTCCTTACAACTTCAGTGAAACATGTGCTACTTGCAGTAACATGTAAAACAGAAAACTGAGCAAAACAAGCATGAGGAAATCAAAATTAATCAGATTTCAGGTGAAATTGTTTGTGAAGCAGCAGCATTAAAAACCTGACACTGGGACAAAGATTTCTCCATCAGTTTCAGTTCGGGTCAATAGATTAGAAGGTGTCTTGATTTAAAACCAACAAACTCAACCACCACCACCAGAGATATCTTGAGATATTTTGACACCTCAGAGTATAGGAGCTTGTGAGTGGTCACAGTGTTTAGAGACACAAAGAGGATTAACAGCTGTTGAAATGCTGCCAGCCTAGATGAATGCCAGTGATAGCTCTGATGAAACGGAGCAGGGCAGTGCAGGCCTTGACAAATGCTGCAGACGACAGCCAGGAGATTGGATGGCACAATCTGCCTCACACCTGACACACATGCTGCTTCGATCCCTTCTGCTGACATCCATGCTCAGCAGCCTGCAGCAAAATGCCCTTTGCGAGCCCCTCTCAAACCCAAAAGAGCACAAGAGGCAATGCTGTGAGCGGGGCAATACGCGGTGTGCCCCACAAGGGCACGGAAAATTTCTGAGAGAAACAGGTAAGGAAAGCAAAGATTACTTCTTCCATATCAAATGTCAGCTGGAAGACATTCAAATTCCTGCTTCCAGCTGCTTCTGAAGCCAGAAATAAGACCTCACACCATCCTGAGGAGCAGCACAACTGCGCCTGCCTGCACGCTCTTGGGGACAGGCAGCACACACATGCCCTGGATGCAGCTGCTGCCATGAGGAACTCCGGGAAGCTGCAGAGAAACACGGGTCAGTGCCAGCTTTGGGAACAGCTTTGCTGCCAGCAGTGCCTCAGGGCAGCAAAGGTGCACGCCGGTCCCCACACCTCAGCAGGTCGCTGCTTCACACGCGCTGTAGATCAGGCTGTTCATTCTCACCGCTCACAGGTCTCAAGCAAACGGCTCCTAACAGATTTGAAAAATTACCCCATGTACCTGCTTCCCTCCCTCAGGTACAGAGGCAGATGAGCCAAACTGATCTGTTCACTGGATGACCCTGTGGATGTGTTAAAATCAACCCACACAATCAATCACTGCTATCAGCTTTGGTCCAAAACAGGGAGTTCGGGAATTTCAGAATATGCTGCAAGAAACAATCTC